TGCTGCTGGCCATCACCTGGGTGGGGATGGGGACAGGGTTTGTGCCAGGCGGGATGGTGCCCCATAAGGGCAAGGACCAGTCGAGCCCCAACCCCACTGCTCACCAGGGTGTGGGGCTGCTGCCTCTTTTGGGGCGAAGCTCTGGGGTCTCTGGGGACCATGCCATGGCACGAGGGCTTTGTGCCTTGCCCGTGCTGCCCATCTCCTGCGCCAGCCCCGGGTCTGTGCCCTGCCAGGTGCTCCCTGCCGGCTTTGCCTGTACGATCCTGTGCTAATCACTCGGAGGAAAATCTGCTTTTAATGAGGTTTTGCTGGCTTCACTGCTAATCCCTGTGAGGCTGTGGATACCTGCAGGGGCTGTGGGGTGGCGGCGCTGGGGTTGTGACTGGTACCAAGGCTGGTACCTAGACCCTCTGCAGAGCTCCCAAGGGGTGGATGAGCCCTGGCCCCAGCAGTGACGTGGTGCCGTGCCCGCAGGTGAACGGGGTGTGCATGGAGGGGAAGCAGCACACCGACGTGGTGGCAGCCATCAAGGCAGGCGGTGACGAGACCAGGCTGCTGGTGGTGGATGTCCTCACGGATCAGTTCTTCAAGAAGTGCAAGGTGGTGCCCTCTGAGGAGCACCTGGCAGGTGGGCTGGGGGCTGTGCTGCAGGGAGGGGGGTTTGTGTCACCTCTGCTGGCTCTGTGTCACCTTGTCACCAAACCTGGGCGTGCTGCGGGAGTCCCCGAGCCCTGGGAGGTGGAGGTGGGGCCAAGCAGGGCCACCTGGCTTTGGCATCTCCCTGCCCAGCTGAGGGCCCCGTGCCAGGGCAGCAGGGCTAAAGTGGGCTCTGTGGGAAGGCAGGTTTATGGCCCTGGGCTGCACTTTGGCAAGGTTTATGGCTTGGGGAGTGACTAGGCAGCAGCCGCCCTTCGCTGTCCTGTGCAGCCTTGGCTCAGCTGTGGCCCCCTCCCTGCTGCGTGACAGGGAGATGGGAGTTCCCCCCCTGGGAGAATGGGGGTCTCACTGGGCTCCATGTCGTGGCTGTCATCGTGGGGATGTACCTGGTGCCTGGCAGCATCCCCCCCCGTGCTTCAGGGCTGGCTGCGAGGGGTGGGTTAAAAAATTTGGGACCTGGCCAGACCCTGGGCAGTGTTGGGTGAGCGCTGGCCACGTGCAGCCTTTGCTGGGCACCGCTGTGCTTGCCGGTGAGGGGGGCTGGTTGGAGGGAACAGAGCAAATGCATCCTCACCCAGTGCCCGTGTCCTCACCCTACAGGTCCCTTGCCAGAACCAGTTGCCAATGGCGATATAGGGAAGGTAAGAGAGCCTCATCTTCCTTTTAATCCCGTCTATGCCAGTCTCTGGGCAGGGACCCTGCCTGTTTAGACAACCCACCTGCCCATGGGTGGATGATGCCACCAGGGACTGCAGTGCTTTCAGGCTGCCACACAAGAGCAGATGGGACCAGGAGCTGGTGCCCCGCAGGAAGGGGTTTGCCTGTGGGGCTGAGTGTCATGGAGGTGGCTGCAATCCCTCCCTTCCTCCTCATCCATCCTCATGGTGCTGCAGGGAAGTAGCATCCAGCCCTGCAGCTGCCCTCCTCCTCCTCCCACTAAAGCCAGGGTGGTCAGGCTGGGGTTTAATCCTTCCTTGCCCTGGATGGGCTGCACCGAAGGTATTTATGACCCTGGAGCTCGCAGGAGCAATTATATGTGGGCAGGATAGATTTTGCAGCCCCCCAGGCAGGACTTGCAGCTCCGGGGGCTGTTCCCAAACCCCAGGGCTGGAGCTATCCTGCTCATGCCTGCTCCCCCCCCCAGGAAAATGGTGGAGAGCCGCGGTCCAACTCTGTGTCCGAGAGCCCGTCCAGCCTCAGGCCGCTGTCCATGTCCCCTGACTCCGTCGAGACCCACAGTGAGGTAGGGCTGGGGATGCTGTGGGGAGGTGGTGACTGGAAAGTGGGGTCTGGGCTGATCCCCCACT